GCGCCGGCCAGGCTGTATCTGTTTGCATGGGAAGCTGGTGCCACGACACAAATGAAAAGGCCAATCGCTGGATCCATCGCCGATCGGTCGTCTGAATGCAACGCTGCTGCCTCCTGTCACGCGCGTGTTGTTGAATTGGTACCACTTTTTTTTTTATAGAAACAATGTGTGCTAACTGCTCGGAGAGATCAGTCTCGGAGACTGACACATTGAGTTGGTTGGGAACTTGAGATGAGCAATAACACAAGCCAGCAAGCACTGTTCACCTCACACTCTGTCACTGTCACTGACAAACACACATTGATACATACTCCCTCCGTCCGGAAATACTCGTCGAAGGAATGAATGTATCTAGATGTATTTTAGTTCTAGATACATTCATTTTTATGCATTTCTTCGACGAGTATTTCCGGACGGAGGGAGTACATACCTGTCCGTAGACGTTCCTCGCGTTCGCGTCGGCCCCCTTCTCCAGCAGCAGCGCCGCGATCTGCACGCACGTGAACAGTTTCAGTTTTTTTTTCTTCTTGAGAAATCACAAAAGCATGGCCTTGCCTACACGCGTACAAGTGAAAGTAAAAGAGGGGAATCGAATTTTTTTTATTTTGCAGTAAAAAAACTAAATTAAATTAGATCGAATGTTTATATATGTATAGTACGAATACCGTTGTTTGGTGTCCAGGTCGGGGAACATGTGAGTTGATCGTTGACGACTGTACGAGTGCGGATGGAAACAGTTAGCCAGCTCGCTCGCTAGCTACTCATGCACGCCAACTGCGTATATAATCACTGTCTGAGCATGCATATGTTCTTGGACAAAATCGTCAAGGCTAGCCAGTCGGACGTCGCGTTTAATTTCTCTGCGACTTTGGTGATGGATGGCGTCCTGACGCGATGGGTTTTAAAACACATGGAACCAGCCTTGTCTACTACTTGATCACAATTTACTTGCCACATGCGTCGACAGCAACGCAGCGACTTGTGCTGCAAAAATCAGTGCTAGCACTGTGCATGTGTGCCTCAATCGCACGACGCATTTAACTTTTGGACATTACTATATAAAATCCCTAAAGAAAAATTTGGATGTGTGCATTCTACGGGTTCTTTCTTAATTATTACGGAGCACTTGTGTGTGCCTACATTTCGCCTTACCCATTCCTGAAAAGTACTCTCCCAACGTGTTTGGATTTTCACATTTGCTAGGTTGCCTGGAATTGAATCGGTGCAAGTCAATTTCCTGGGTGATGTCTATAATATAGTGAACGCACCTACCTGGCTACGTACGTGGCTCCCATTATACACCTTCAACTCGGGTGAGAGGAAAACCATCAAGTCAAAGAAAAACTTTCGATCCATCTACCTAATTACACATCAGCGTGACAGCAACCCGGCCCGAAAATAATGTGTGCTAATTAACTACTGGCGCCAACTTGCGTGCAAAAGAATGCATCGTCCCTACAATGGTGACTCGACCTTGCCGTGAATTTAGGGCCACACAACAACAAAAGAGTCATTTTCTACCAAGGAAAAATGAGTCGTGCTTGCTTGGAAAACCATGCATAGCCGGAGGACGCACGCATGCACCCCAAATCAAATCTTTCTTTTTCTGAGTTACCTCAAATCAAATCTGATATGGCGGAGTAGGTAGGTTTTCTTGTCGACTCGTGAATTTATTATATTTTATCAGTGGGTTGTCTGTGGTTAAGTTAAAGATATGGTGGTTATGCTAGATAGCTGTGTGTGATAATAATTGATTTAGGGAACAAATCGGATATGGTGGTACGTTTCGAGACATTACTAGGAGGATCAATATGTGGGATCTACTACTAGCTAGTTAATCCGGGCCACATGTTTTTCTAGTACCTTTTGTTTCGTCGAATTTATTTCGTCTTTTCGCGCAGATATATTATGAGCCCCATGATGTGAGCTTGTCTAGTTATTCAACAATAACCTCAAATTTAAAACTGACACTCTAAGACTCGCAGTTTGAATTTTGTAGGGTTGGCTCGTATTTATCCTGGCAGAAATATTATTGCAATCTTTTATCCGTAACACCAGCCATATTGAACTTGTAGTAGTAATAAGAAAAGAAAATAAATGGCATGCTGAACTAGGCCCGCGCGTTGCATGGTTTTGAATTTAAATTGCACCCGCTGAACTAGTCCATGCAAAACGGAAACAAATTCGTATGCGTCGAGCATGCAGGCAGGCGCGCGCGCGGCGGTGGCCGGCGTCGAGACGCCGGCCGACGCGCGTACGAGCCGTCGAGCGAGCGGCCCGTCCGGCGCGCGCGCGAGGGCACGTGCACGTACGTACCTCGTGGTGGCCCTTGGTGGCGGCGAGGTGGAGCGGCGAGCTGAGGTTGCCGAAGGTGGCCGTGCAGCGCGCGAGCCCCGGGTCCGCCGCCAGCAGCCGCCGCACCTCCGCCGCGTCGCCGTCCCGCGCCGCCGCCGCCAGCCGCTCGCCCAGCCCGGCGCACCCCAGCGCGTTCCCCATGTCTGTGCTGATCAATCCGACGCGCGGCCGCCTGCCGTCCACTACGTACCGAGCCCGCGCACCCGCCGGCCGGCGCCCCGTCGCTAGCTGGAGAGCTAAGCTCACGGGACTTCCCCGGTCGTTGTTGGCAAAGGAGATTGAATCTGGTGAGCTAGGTGCGTGTGAGCCTAACACTAAGCCACCACATATATATCTGAGATTTCTGTCTATCTAGAAAGTTTTATATGTGCACTCTTTTAGTTCTGGCTTAGTGTGATCATGACCCATGAGAGAATTCTTTTTCCCTTCTTCTTCTCTCACTGTTATGATATCTTGGTGTCAGTATACCAGGCCAGACAGCTGGGCGCTAGTGTATTGATTAGTTGTGCATGGCCGCTTTTGCACATTAACCCCTGTACATGTGTGGATTCACTTGCACGCCCACCACTTAGGCCCAGGGGTAGCTTCAGAAATAACCCCCTACAAATGTTATTTCTGAAGTGATGCGTATTTTTGGAGCGACATGTCACCGCTACATGGAGACTGTCTGGTCGAACAAGACGGGTGTCGGCTATAAGTGACTCGAGAGAATCATGTCGAAGTGGGGCGTCGGTCAACAAGTGAAGGGTCGATCTTCAGGAAAAAAATACGTGCCGACAAATCTCCAAAGTTCTTATCAACAAAGTGTCGCTCGCCAACACGGTATCATCTCGATTGCATCCTATGGTCGAAGAATGTCCCGAGGTAGTGAAAGTGATGCACGCATAAAATTGTACTGAAAACGCCACAAGTCAATTCATTGTCGATCATATATACCATCCCTTGGTGTAAAACGGTGAACTATGAAGAGTCAACCCTGCCCTAGCGCCAAAAGAGTCGACGTATTGCACACCATGGTTGTGTGGTGCTAAGTTGGCATGGAAAAGATCTCCTTATAGTGTGTCGAAATCATCCACAGCCAAAGAGACAGTGCAAGGTATATTCGTACGTGTATGACACTATGACAGTGTGATCGATGTAAGTATCTGCCAACCCCCCCACTTAGCACTAACTCACGGGTGCAACTGATCTAGCTAGCTAGTGGATCAAGTTTCTCCACTTGGTAGCATCAGTTTCCTTCACTTTCTAGCTTCTGCAACTTGCATTTCGTGTCTATTCATCGAAAGGAAACACTATTTTTGGTTTTATCACCTTCATTGTCATGAGAAAATAAAAAAATTATTGACTCATGAATAAACTAGTCAAGGCTTTCCGATCATTTTCAGTGTCTTTTGTAAAATAAATTTTTCCCTTGATTTTTGTTTAGAAAAACTTATGTACTGAAAGACATGTCTCAACCAATTCATTCAGGTTTCAATTTCCCGGCAGAACAAGGAAAGCAAAATCACAAGATAACATCTTGGGTCCCAATGTCATGCGGAGAGAAACAAGTCATTTCATTCAACCGGAAGTGCATGAGTGCATACTGTTCACTGGTGTGCTCTTGTTTCAATCAACCAGAACCCCCTTCATGTATACCACTAGCAGTTTTTATAGAAAAGCTGGCCCGGAGAAAAATAATCATCAACAAATTCGTTAGAAGGTTCCTGACCTCATTTAGCAAGATATATGAGATTAATGGATAGTACATCAATAGAGAGAGACAAGATTATTATTATTATTATTATTAATCAATATAGTCACAAGAGGGGAGCGGCCTTGAGTGAGACTTGCCGAGAGAAAAGCAAGGCATCCAATGGACGCATAGAGCAATCAATGATGATACCTTTCTCAAATTTCATTACGAAAAGGGACTCGCTTGGTGCAATTAGGTAGGCGTTCAGCAAACAAGGTGCTTGCATTGGGTCACCATCTCATTCATAACATATGAATACAATATCTATTAAATTGGACCAAAGCACGCGCGCGCACACACACAAACACGTACATGAGTGGTTTTCGAAGGAAATATATACTCAAAATGCACAAGAACAAAGGGGGAAAATGTATCATCCTTCGTAAACTGTGGCACCCACCCTACGAGATGGTATCCAGTTTCATGATCTGTGAGCTTCATACACTTGCACAGCTAAGCTATCATTACAAGGTAAGGTGGAGCATACTACTGTTCTCAGTTCTGAATGTACAAAAGTGGGCAAATCACTTCCTACAAATCTCTGTACACGACCTGGAGACTTTGAAAATAGAAACCATAATTTATTGCGACAGCATGAACTTCATTTCGTATCACATAATGCCCTACCTACCGGCACTATTTCATTGACCAAGCAGTGGAGACGGGTGCGTGTCGCGTATAGTTATGAAGTGTGCAAATTGAAGGGCACATGTCAAAATAACAACTTCACAGAGGGTACGGCTGCGAAGTGGTACATGATCGGACACGTCATCGTCATTGGAATCGTAGCAGCAGAGATGACTAATTAGTGAGCAGAATTAAGACAGTGCTAATTATTTTTTAATGTCAGGTTAATAAAGAGGGGCAACTTGTGGCAGCACTCATCAGTGAGTTTGATCCGTTCTGAAGTCCAAGGGAAGAGTATCTTGATCGTAGGAATCTCTGTGCGCAGGGGGTGGATTCTTTTTCTTTCTTTATTTTGAACTTGGGTAGTGGATTCTTGCAAGGAAAGAGAATCTCCAGTTGCTTCGTCCACGCCAACCTTTGTCAGCCAATCACCCGGTTGCATTTCCGTATCAACTTGACCTTCTATGCGGATATGATTTAGATTTAGGAGAGGACGGATTTTCAAAACTACTTTTGATTCCTTACTTTTATAATAACTAATGAGGGGCTATTTCATTCCAAGGACTTTTATTATAAGAAATTTTAAAGATTACTTCGGCGTGTTTAGAAATTTTACCCATTTGTGTTGATTGATTTGTACATAAGGGCATCACCAAACTGACCTCTAAAACGAACACTGTATTTGTCCGTTGACTGGTTCGGACCATTCCACGGACACTGGTGCGGTAGTCGGCCATCCAACCATGTCGTTTAAATGTCCATCTATGCACATGTGCATGTCTCGGTAGAAGAGAGATGGAGCAGGGGGCGGGGGTTGGATGTCCGACGTGGTGGCTTTCCGTAGGCTAGACATATGTCCAGACTCCTCCAAAGCCTCCAAGCTAGCTTCTAGTTTGACGGAATTTGGACATTCGGACCAGTCCGAGGATGCTTGAGGGATAGCCTTGGATGACAAAAACTATTCGGATCTCACAAAGGACATATATGAACGATTTGAGAGTCCACGTTGGAGATGCCCTAAGAATCTTTCTGAAGACACCTTGTGTTTTATTTCACTTCCTGATAAAAGGTTGTGTTTTTTTACGGAACCTCGTCAAAGGGAGGGGAGCTACCGCATTGCATTAAGAAGAAGAGAATTGATCCAGTTAATAAGGGGAAACCGGACCCAAAAACTGTTGGGGATCGTTGCAGAAACTAGCAACGAGAGAGAGGGGAGTGCATCTTCATACCACTGTAACGGAAGCGTTATAGTGGCGGCGGAGCCCGCACCTCGCCTTCCGTGCAGCAGGCAGCGTGCGCCAGCAGCTGCTGTCGGCAGGGGTGGCCGCCTCAGCCAGTGGCGGCGAGGCCCACTGGCGGGGCCCGGACGCAGCAGAGGCTGTCGGCCCGCGAGCGACCGCGCCAGGGCTGGCCGCCTCGCCCGGTGGCGGCGTGGCCCACCTGGCGTCGCCCGTTCCGTTGCGGCTGGGTGTACTGTGGAAAAGCCGTTTCGGCTGGGTTGCCGCCTCCAGCGGTGGCGGCAGGGCCCGCCGCCTCCTGGCGTGGCGGCAGGTGCCACGTGTCGCCTGCCGCGCCTGCCGCCATCGCTGAAGGGGTCTTTTTTTGTCAAATTCATCCGAAGGTAGTCTTTTTTATCAATTCATCTCAGCAGGGGGTCCTTTTAGACAAAAAATTCCCTATGCCCAACAAAAAGAACACACCACATGCATCATGGCTTATTAGAAAACGGGTGCAGTGCAGCTCAAGCCGCTCTCCATCATGCTGGGAGAGCAAGATAAAATCTGTTGTACGGTGCGCGCGTGAGCTCACCATCGGGCAATGGCCCACTTTTCCGGTCGGGTTAGCAGCCTAGGCCCAGCTCCCGGTTCATCGGGATATCTTCGGATGTTTTCGATGCGCATCAGACGCTCCACTATAAGCAAAGAGCCCACTACATCCTAAAAGACCGGCCTCGAGGGAGTGTGGCACTCTCTCTTATAAGAAGCTCCTAGCCTCCTCCCATATCTGAGATGGAACTAAAGTCACTAGCGCTGCCCAAGGTCATGTTCAAGACGTGCTCCGTTCGTTCATCGTCGTGGACCTGTGCACGGCTGGCTGATTGTGATGGGATGAGCTTGTAGCTAGGACAGAGAAATACAGTTGCATGTCAGGGATAGAGTTGCAACAGGGAGAACAATATAATTAGACTCGGCCACTACTTTAAAGAGCATCAGCATGATCTTCCTTTAAGAAGAACATTCAAAAATGCATAACAGCACAAAAATGCGAATAACTGAATGGAAAAGGCCTTGTTCGCTTCACACCTCTCTCCGACTACATAAAAAATTTAAAAGCAAAAGAAAACGGCATGCAGTCAATAGACTACAGGAGCCTGGCACCTAAATCAATAAACCTAAAATCTAAAAAGTGCATACGCACTATTTGGAGACAACGAGCGGCCGGGCTTCCTAGCCATGCATGAGTTGTTTTTTTGTCTGCTAATGCATGTCATTATTAGTATTTAATGTGTTCATACTGATTAGTCCGATTTGAAAGAAACAACTTCACGTATAATTATTTTGGTTTTCCAAATTTTTAAAAAGTCATATCTTTTAAACCGCGCGTCGGAATTCAGATCCGTCTTCACTATTAAATTCTTTGTGACGAGATCTTTAAAACTAGATCCCCCATGGGTATGTTTCGACGAATTTTTTTATGCCAATTTTGACGCTATATTGTGCAACTTCGGTACTGCTGTGTGCAAGTTTAGTACTACATGGTGCAATTTTTTTTAAACCCA